TGAGAGAAGTTCCTAGGGTGATACTTAGATCCCATCATTTGTTAAACATTGCTTCTAAGCATGGGTTTCCTCAAAATGTCTGTTTCTGACCTTAGTCTAACTCAGAGATTAAAAACCTGTTGGCATGTGGGTCATTTCTGGCCCACCAGTTCTTTGTCCAGCTAGCCCAGTTTCCAAATCCCCATCACGAAAAAGGAGGAGTGAAAGAAGCTGATTTCATTAGGACTTACACTCTCAAGGCATATGGAGCAAATCAGTGGCTGTCTCCACAGGGCTCAGCTGTGTCCTGTTTGCCAACATGCTCAGTTGTTTAGGCTGAGCAGTCAGTTGGGGCAGAGAGAGACTAGGAGGCGTTAGGATAAGGGCCAACTGAGTCAACATAATTGATATACTCCCAAAGGTTGGGAGGAGCTCCTACTGTGACAAGAGCTATACAGATGTCCTTTATGACTCTGACATCTTGCAGTATAGGGTAGGCTAACCTACTCTGATGATTAAGGATAAAGTATTGAAGCAACAGGGAAGTCAAAGGGTTGCACAGATGACATTGTTGTCCCTGCTACATAAAAGGTTCCAGTGCTTCAAACATGTGAGTGTTGGCTTCACTATACCACTGGTGTCTGTATTGTTGCAAAAATACAAGAAAAGCTTTTTGAGCAGAGATGATAATAGGACAAAAATATGCACCATCCGCACTGAAAGTGCTTTTTCTCTTTAAATTTCTTTCAGCTTTTGCACAAACTTCTGCTTGGTGCTATCTAAAATGTTTAATGCATTGATTCTAATTTTGAATTACTAGAAGGTGCTGAAAGTTGGGGAATCAATTTAAACAGCCTTAAATTGCTAGTCAGCCCTAAAGGTATGATAAGATCACTGCCTCTTTCTGCAGAATTTCATTGAATTGCTGCGTCATTTTGGCCCAAATGCAAAGTCTTGGTTAGAAGTACAAAAATATCCAAGGCAGAAGAAACAAAATGAAAAACTGTTTTGTAAATGTGATAAGATGGGAAATGATTTCCAGCTCAGCAGGCAAATAAGCAGACACTACAAGTTTTAACGATCACCTCTCCCTAAAGAGAGTGTGGTGTTTGGACAGGGAGTCACAGTGGGCGCAAAGCTACCACCTTTATCCCTGAGGCAGGTCCTTTTAACATGTCACGAACCGTCATCTCACATACATAAACAATCATTTTTCTACAAGTCTAGGACCTTCTTCTTCCTGACACTTTCTAGCTGTCAACCAATTAATTGCAAAAAAAGCTTAACACAACTCTCCACCTATATTTCACATGAGATCCACAGGTGTCTTATCTCCAGTTAAGCAATATTCTCGTTTGGTCGTCTTTCTAGGCCTCTTCGGCCTTGCCTTCTTATCTTTGTACCAGGAATTCTGCAAAAACAGTCTCACACATTCCATTGCTTTTAACTAATCTTACGCAGAACCTAACAGACCCCATCTTTATGTGACTACAATTCCCAGTATCCTTCAGTTCATTACACAAATAACTTGAAAGATTGCTAGATGTTCAGAGGAATGCTGTTGATTTCTAGGAAGCTGTTTTACACAGCCCGCTTGCTGGCCATAAACTCCCTCTCTTTTAAAAAACAAGCAAGTGCCAAAAGCCTAAATCCAGTGTTAACCCTACCAAGATTAGGGCTATGAAATTAAAGGGAATCAAGTTACCTGTGATTAACAAGTCCAATTCATTTCAGTGGACCTATTCCAGTTAGCACTAAGGTTGGATATAGCCCAAATTATCTTTCTTACTACAGGAACAACTTTTGGAATAAACAGAACTTGGAGAATGTTGATTTTTTAAAAAATTACATTTATATTTGTGTGTTTGTTTAAAATATTTTGACCTACCTTTCCCCTTAAAAGGGACCCAACACCGCTTATGTCATTAAAAAAGAAATATTAAAACTAATATTAAAGCTGTGAACTGCCCAGAGTGGCCCTGATAGCCAAATAAGTGGTATACAAATAAAATAAAATTAAAAAATCAATAAATAGCAACAGGGAGTATACAAATACTAAAAAGGATCAGACAAATAGAGTACAAAAACATGCAGCACCAAAAGACATTCAAAACAGTAAGGGTCAACAATCTTTATCATCATTACAAGGCTAAAGTAATGCTTTACTTCCTCACTTTTGAAAGCAACTAAAGTTACTTTGGGTTACTTTGCATATAGCAGCAACTTGGTCGCTTTCTATCTTCTTGTATTTTAAAGTCCAAACTACTGTGGTATGTCATGATTTTTTGGAAAAAGCATGCTTAAAGTAGCTACATCTTTTGTGAAAAACAAGAGCAGTTCCAACATCCTGATTGATGCACATCTTGATCCTATTTCAATTCCCTGCTGAATGTCTTAACAGCTCCTACGATGACCATTTACACCTGGCCTAAAAAGAGGAAACAACCTTGAGAGAGAGAGAGAGAGAGAGAGGCGTACAAATGCATATGCTAATATATATGTATAAATATACTGTAAATGTGAAAGTAATTGCTATAATTTAAATCAGGAGTGGCAAACTTCTAGGGGTTGAGGCCACATTGCTTCCCCAAGATTATGAGGGCCTAATCCCCTGTTGCATCACTCAGTTTAAAATGTAAATGTGCCCCCTCCCCTCTTTTGGCACTAAAGTGCAGAAATTCCCTAATGATGGTTGTGTTGGAAGTGGCTGTTAAAAAAAAGGTGGAGGCTGCACACGGACTATAAAACAGTGGAGACTAATGATCCTGATTTTCAAGATGTAGTGTGTCCACTCTGGATTTTAATCTGAAATAGCTATCCAACATACTGGGCCTATCTGAGGGATAGCATCTATCATCTTAGATAGTTGCTCTAAAACCCACCCACCCTTGTAAAACTAGAATCACCAGCCTCCACTGGCACTTCATGCATCTTGCCCATTCAGGACTGAAGGAAATATATCTTACCATAGACTATGACTGAGCAATTGTGTGCCTGCATTGAGTGGAACTGCACATTAGAGATGACGTGTCATTAGAAGACAAAAGTCTTTAACTGTTGGAAACATGTAGCATGCATAGCAGAAACTTCTCACTTTCTACAATTCATAAGTTATAGTGTATTATTCTGTGATTAGTCTTTGAGGATTAGAGTTAGGGTTTTGTTTGAATTATGAGTATGGAATACTAACTTGATTTCAGCTACAGTATATCCATCGGCTATCTGTAATATATGGTTTGGTCCTTCCCCAACTGACCAGGTGCTAACTGTTGATTAGCTACTTCAGTGTTCCTATTTATCTTTCTTTTGCTTATTTATGTTTAAACCACATTTGGTCTGAATAGCTAATTTCCTTGAAGTAAATGAAACGTTTTTAAAAAGTCTTGTTTTGCTGCTTCTTTGTCAGGGTTTAGGCATTAAGTGAAAATTGTTTCATTAAATCTTATCTATTTAATTGTAGCAGCTTCTCTTGAGTTTTGTAAATATTGTTTTACTCTGTTCATCTTGTTTGATACTGTCATTGTCATGAGCTGTCTTGGGACCCAGACTGCGTCAATAAAAAAAGAGAGATGTCTCCTAAATTAAAAAATTTCAGCTATCAAGGGAGCACGAAGAATTCTGCCCAAGAGGCTAAACCAACCCATTTGATTTCATGATGATATCACGCATGCAATAACAATTCCCCCTTTCAAAATGCCAGTAGCTGATTTTCTAGAGTTAGATTTCATCTCACACTGATTAACTTCTCAGTGGAGTTAACTATGTTTTTTATCATATATGTGTGTGATGTATATGGGCCTTCAAGATTTATTCTTCTTCTCCATATCCAAATTGTCCTTAACATCAAAACTCTGGGGTTGTCTATGCATGGCAACTGGAGCCACCTGGAGTAGTGAAAAAAAGTGCGTATTGGATGAATACGCACTGCATCCCTTTAGAAAAATAAAAGACAAATGGAAAGCTTCCTCCTGGAAGCTTTTGTTTGCTTTTCTTTTAAAAGTCTCCAGCAAGAGCCTGCCCAACCAGGAGGAAACTTTCCATTTGTCTTTCTCTTAAAGTAATGCAGTACATATTCACCCAATATACACTCCCCCCATTTCTTCAGTCGCCTGAAGTGGCTGTCTTCTTAAGCCACTTGAAAATACAGTATTAGCAAATTAAAGGAAGGCTCACTTTTTGGTTCATTTCCAGCACTCACATGCACTGGAAACAGATCAAAGCAGAGTACTCCTACCCACACACAAAAAGGTACAAGCCCTTGACAGGGACCAGAAAAGTATGGGTAGGAACATTATGGGGATGGTTTGGTTCTTTCCAGCAATTACATCATATGATCATAGTCAAAAGGAGTGAACCAACCCATTCCCACAGTAGTCCAAACAGTAGCCTAAGTGCCTCCGGGACATTTCTCAGTTCTCGATGCCTAGGAAACCCAAGCAAGGGTCACCATAACTCAGGACTGAATCGAGTGCACACATAATTATTTAAACACTTATTAAGAAAGGTATATTCAAGATAGAAAAATTCTAAACCTTAATTTTAACGAGCTAGACATCTGCTCTGGCAGGGCATGAGGAAGAGGAGCAACAGCAGGTCTTCTCCTTAGAGAGTCTCAGGAAAGGAAGGAAGCAAGAATTATGGGCAGACCCTGAGGATATCAGTCTAACAATAGATGCAGGAGGAAGCAGAGGTCAGAGAGTCAAAAATATAGACTCTCTGGTTTCCCCACTCCCCAATACCTCTTATGGTCATGTGGGTTGGAGGTGACACTTGGGGGACATCAGGCCAACAACGGCCTTATGGTATTTCTTCAAAGAAATGGGTGGAGGGGAAGGACTTAAACTTCTTGGCTTGATTTCAACTAGTAGCCCCCAAAATTGGGGATCTGTGGGATCACCTGGCAGGTTGTGTGTGTGAGAGAGATTTAACAGAATCCCTTGTTGGGGCAGTGGCTTCTGACTGTGGGTAAGGTTGTGGTCATATTAAGCCTCAAACAAAAATCTTTGTTTTCAATGTCCCAGGTAACAAAGATGCTGGCTGTGGTGGTGATTCTCTTTGCCCTTCTGTGGATGCCATACCGCACACTGGTGGTGGTGAACTCCTTCATGGACCCTCCTTATTTGAACATCTGGTTCATCCTCTTCTGTCGACTCTGCATCTACCTGAACAGCGCCATCAACCCCATCATTTATAATGTAATGTCTCAAAAGTTCAGAGCTGCCTTCAAAAAGTTATGTAAATGTGAGCGGAAGAGAAATGAAATCACTACCCAGTACAATGCCCCGGTCTTCTATAGCACTATGAAGGACTATTCCCATGACAGTTCTGAGCATGACATAACAGAACAAGAAGATCTCAATGGTTACCCACCAGCAGCAAGGAAAATTAAAACTTCCAAATAAACCTGTTGCATCGTATGCCAACTATGATTGCAACGACTGCCTATGAAAGCAGCTTCAGGAATATAGATGAATAGCATGTTATAATAGACAAGAGATTCCCTTCTTGCCATTTGGACAGAATGTAATCATAAGGCTAACTGGTTCATTTTATGTCAGTGTTAACTTAGGCTCAAGATTGGTCAACATTTTGCATTATTCAAAGCTGTAAAGAATGGCACAGTATAATGGACCTTCTTGTTATGTATGTGCAAGATCCCTATTCAGCAGCTGTTTGCTTCTTACATGATTACACTAATGGGCAGAGAGAGGGGGGCAGTATTTATTTATTTATTTATTTATTTATTTATTTATTTATTTATTTATTTATTTATTGTGTGATCCACCACCATGAAAAGATTTTTTTTAAATATAAAAACTAATGTTAACAGGCAACATGCTTTTAAAACAGATGAACAACAACTCTAGAAACTAGTTTTGACTCAAATATAAAAACTAGTGTTAACAGGCAACGTGCTTTTAAAACAGATGAACAACTCTAGAAACTAGTTTTGAGGCTTGTTTATGCTTCAAAACCCTACAAATGGCTGAACTCTGGGAACTGATCAGAGATGGAGCCAACTCAGTTTTTCTTTGGAGAGAATTCCACAGCTAAAGTGCTGGTGCAGAGAAAGCTACCGTATGTCTCATGCAGTCCCCAATCAAGTTGGGACAAGCAACAGGGTCTTCATTACATTCCTATCAGCCTGGTCCCACTGCCATTCATGGTAGAGGAGGAGTGTCTCAAGATGAAAGCTGTCTTCATTAGATTTGGGGGGGGGGGAATGCAGTTTTGAGTACAGTTCCCACCCATCACAATATCAGACCCTGTTGGCTAGGGGATCATAGTCACTGTAATCCAAAGAGATCATATGTTCAAGCTCCATTAAACATTTGGGCTTTCTGGGTCATGTGGACACATGATCCACTTCATATAGGAAGCCTCCACAGCATAGGAAGCAAGCTTCCTCTTTCAAATATCCCTCTTCCAAACACTGATGACGGGAATGATGTAGAGCAGACAAAACCAACAAGGAGGGGGTCTTTACCATCAAGTAACTTTTAGTCATGTGGGGATGAAAATCATGGTAGGGTTGAGATTTGCATTATATTAGTGTTATCCAAGGATAGATCAGCTATTTTGGCAGGTGGTGGACTCTCCTTCATTGGAGGATTTGCAACAAGAGGTTGGATAGCCATCTTTTGGGGTGTGTTAGCTATGGACTTCCTGCTTTAGCAGGAGTTTGATCTCAATGGCCCTTGGATCCTTTCCAGCCCTACAATGCTATGAGTCTGTTACTTTGAGTTTGTCACCTGCAGCTTCATAGACATGACAGTGTCCAGCATGAAGACTTCAGGAACAACTAGGCACGCTGTTTATGGTGGCTATTCCTTAATGCAATCTTATTCCCTTTATCTTTCACTGATGCAGCAAGAACAGACTTTAAATGCCTCATCTTTTAAAATAGCGATCAGGTTACATACGTAGCTCTTTGACTAACATAGGTAGATACTCCTGCAGAAGAAAGGAACAAAGGAAACACTCCTTTGGTAAATACACTTCCCACCACACCCTGGGGGACCCAAGCTAATGTTTGTTTATGGCATTATAAAGCCTTATAAAACCATGAGAGACTGAATCAAGAGCAATTTCAGAATAAGGAATCCCAAAACCTTCCAAGGCCTCTGGGACTGAATTTGTCACTGGGTGTTCTGTAGCACCTAGCAACAACCTACATTGATGTGACTGGGTCTCCCTGTTACTTCCATGAATACACCCCATTGATTTTTTTATATGCTGCCTGAGGGGTCTACTTATGGGTTGAACAAGGGGTGCTATGCCACCAGGATTTCAGGGAATGCCCCCCCTCCAGTCATGTGCCAGCTAGTCTGCTTTTCTGTTCATTCAAGTCATGGGTCCATCGAATTTGGTACTGGTCCCTTCCATGTCCCAGAATCTGGAAAAGTTACTATTTTAGACTAATTCTCTCAGAGGACTGCAACAAGCATGCCCACAGTCCATGGCATTCGGAAAATTGTATCAGTAAAGGAATTTTAGTGATCAAGCTCTGATTCGACCTGGAAATGATTTCAGTGCTCTTGACCCAGATCGTATATTTTTGTTCTGTAAGAGAGTCTTTTAATAGGAAATGCCAGCAATGGGAAAAGTTATCTTTTTTTAAACTACATTTTGTTCATAGTGGATATAGGATTCTGGAAGCTGTAGTTCAAAAAGCAAACTCTTCCCATCTCCTGCAGTCTTCTGCGTCCAAAGTATGTCCTTTTCCAGTGACCCTTCCCAGATGACATTGTCATGAACAAGAAGAAGAAAAAAGATGTGACCCAGTGCACTTGTAGGACGTAATAGTGATATCCCACTACTGTAGCATATGATGCTGATAATACATTCTGGATTACTACAGAAGTAATGATCTAGTTGGCAGCATATAATGACTCCTTTTCATAAGGCATAATAAAAACCAAGGCTTAATTGCTGCGGAGACATGAAGACACAAAGCTTTAAGGTCAGTGTGACTGATGTCCTTGTTGCTGTTCTCACATTGCAGTATGAATCATGTTAGGTTTCTTAATAGTAAATTTCCTTGGAATAAATGCATATTATTTTGTTTCCATTCTGATGTGTGTCATTTTGGTGTTGCTGTGCCTGCTTCTGGCTGTTACCCTTTTCTGTACTGGCAGCTACAATGATGGTGGATAAAATATTTCCATGATATACATTTTGTAAATAACTTGCAAACAAAATAGTGATGCAATGTGTTTTGGGGGAAGGGGAAATGGTATGAACCATAGCAGCATCATGAATATTGACAAATTTACATTAAAGTGAAGCATGCTTCTTACTTGCAAGATGCTGTTCTTTACTGGTTTGTTGCGTTTATACACTGGTTTTTATGCCAAAGAACTCAAGGCAACATAACATGGTTTTTCTTCCACACTCAATCCTTTGTGTCTTCACGTTGACCTTGTGATGTAGTTTATGCTGTGATATAGTCATAGCCTTAAAGTCATTCAGAGCGAAACTGCATGATCCGTTTATTACATTTTTTGCAGAGGTGTTCCCACAAATAATGAACAATATATTTTCATTATAGCACATGATTTTCCTCACTTATGTGTCTTTTATTTAGTTTGCTTTATTTTGTGATTGATCACTGGAAGGTAAATACAAGCTTAATTGCTGTGATCTGTGTTTCTGAGGAAATCTCATTGTGGGAGGCAAAACGGATTCATCAGGTTAATTTTAGGGATCATGTTAATTGCTGTGATCTGTGTTTCTGAGGAAATCTGATTGTGGGAGGCAAAACGGATTTATCAGGTTAATTTTAGGGATCATTCATTCCTTTTAACACTTGGTGTCCCTCACGGTTGAGCAGGGATTTGAAACAATGTCTCACTGGCCCTGATCCTACATGCTAACTACCACAGTGTTCTATAGTGCAAAACACCTCTCTCAGAATAACCCGGATATAAGAAGTGTAAAATTCTTCATCATTTCAACTCAAAATGAACATCCTGTGGTCATGCTTGTACTATTAACATTTTCAAAATCATTTGTTTTATTACTGTTTGCTCCTAATTACCTCACTAGTATAATTAGCTCAGCATTCCATTACAGTAAAAGCCTATACATATTTATTTAGAAGTAAGTCTCATCGTGCTTATCAAGACTCTGGATGAAAATGAGAGTGACTAACTCACAGCCGAACAAACCTTAGCAAAATCAAAGCTGAGAGACCTTCACATCCTTAGACAAAATTTGAACCTTGCTGTCCCCCATCTTAAGTTCTCTAATGATGACCACTCTTCTTCTTCTTCTTCTTCTTCTTCTTCTTCTTCTTCTTCTTCTTCTTCTTCTTCTTCTTCTTCTTCTTCTTCTTCTTCTTCTTCTTCTTCTTCTTCTTCTTCTTCTTCTTCTTCTTCATCTCTACAAGCAGAGAAAAAGTACTTAAGGCAATGAAAATGGAAAATATTTTGAAAACAACAGAAACAAAGGCTTGATATAAGAAACAACAATTTGAAGATAAATTAAACAGTTGGAAAAACAAACCACTACATGGACAACACCTGAGAAATATTGATGGAAAGCATGATCATAATTCAACATGGGCATGGCTAAAACTGGGGACTAGATATGGGAGTATTTGAATTCATATACAAATATCCCCTTCCAGGTGCAGATAATGAGGAACCGGCCCCCTGGGGCCAGACCGGCCACTCACCATTCTGCTGCTGCTGCTGCGGGCTCCAGGCTCCCTTTCTATCATTCTGGAGCTCGTGGTGGATTAGCCACTCCTGGCAGAAGGCAGGATGATGAGCCTCTCTGCCAGGTCGAAGAGTGGCTAATCCATCGCAAGTTCCAGTGAGTGGCGGATGATGAGCCTCTCTGCCAGGTCGAAGACTGGCTAATCCATCACAAGGTCCAATGAGTGGTTGTTATCTGCACCTGCACCATCTCTACTGGGGACCATTAAGAAAGAAATTGAAAGTTTGATTTTTGCTGCACAAGAACAATCATTCCAAACCAGTATGATGAAAGCTAAGATCCAAAGAACTGGTGCTAACAGCAAATGTCGACTCTGCCAAGAAAAAGATGAAACTGTGACACACCTCATCTGTGAATGTCCAAAGACTGCACACACATATTACAAAATTAGACATGATAGAGTGGCAAAATTTGTGCATAGGTTCTTTGCAAAAAAATATAACTTGCCAGCCACCAAAAACCCATGGGAACATCAGGTAGAGAAGGTGTCAGAAAATGATCTCAAGATCTTGTGAGACATCCAGACCCACACTGATAAACACCTTGAACATAACATACCAGACATAGTAGTAATAGAATGAAGAAATGTCTGGACATTACAATTCCAGAAGGTTCCAGAGTTTAAAATAAATAATTGGAAAAACTAACAAAGTATAGAGACCTGGCAATTGAAACATCTTGCTTCTGGATGAAACACACTTCACTGGTCCCCGTAGTCATTAGGGCTTTGGGAACAATATCAAGAAATTTCGCAGTATTCCAAGCAGTTGCAGATCTCAGCAATAACACCACAACAGCTACAAAAAACTGCAGTACTAGGAACAACATACATACTACACTGGTATTTAACAGATACTTAGGTTTTGGTTAAAACCTATACCTGTTGTATGATACCAGTCAATTTTTTAATCTTGATTGACTGTGCCTGGTGTGTAGTAGTAGTAGTAGTAGCCACCCATTATAAGCAATAAAGGTTGATTAATTTGACC